AGTGTCTCTAATGAATTTAATTGCCTAGAGCATCTTCTGAATGGAAAGCAACTGAAATAACAGCGCCTGTCAGCTCGTTCGTGGAAAAGAAGAGGCGTGTCAGGCAGGACTGGTTTGGCGTGCGCCGCACATATTCTCCACCAGCTGTTGGAAGCGGATAAGCGACAAAAAGTTGTATAAAACGGCTGGTACGAACAATGTTATACAGTCTAGCTCTGTTCACTGATGATGGGTAACGGGTTTGGCACCGCGCCAAACCCATCCCGCCGAACACGCCCCTTCATCTACAGCGAACAAGAATGTGCACTCCATGGAAACTCAAGAGACGGTGAGGTAAGACCATATGGTCCTTCCGAGCATAGTTCGAATTCACCCTGGCGCGCCCTCACTCCGGTGTCAAAATGAATAAAGTCAAGATTCAACCTCATTCATACAGTATCACTAACCTGAGTACACCGGTAGAATTTTTGAAAGTGGCCGTGCTATAGGGTCGGAGTGGATCGGTATCATTTGAGATTCCATTCGGCTGATAGGCTGGTGTAGCAGAAACAACCTATAGTGCTGGCATGAAATAAGGAACGTAAATAAGTTAAACGCTTACAGTGATTCATACTTTGCGCAGCGTTTTGAGGGTAGGGCAGCATTCTAGCGACAAGGAAAGTATAGGTTTCGATCCAGTGTCTTGATAATCCAGCGTTTCGCGGGTAGCTTTGAGCTTCAGGCGGGCAGTCGCTGAAAACGCTGGAGCGCTCAAACGCTAGATCAATGTCCTTACTTTACTAGTCGCTCAAAACGCTGCCGTACGCTCGGAACGCAGAATGCTGACGCAAATTATAAACGCAGCCTTACATTGCTCATACCTGTTGAACTAAAGCATCTGTGGCTGCTTCAAGAATCACTGGTTTCAGCATGTCAGCACTGGACAAATTCCACAGAGCAGCAGTTGCTTCTTCTTTCACTGCAGCATCGGGTGAGTTGTAAAGTACAGCAGCTAACATCCGCACTCCATCAGCATCAAGGATGGCCAGCTGGAGAAGGGCAAACCGATTACGGATCAGTGCAAGGCAGCGTACAGACCATGCGATGAAGTACGTCGACGCGCTGCGACGCGCCGTAACGCCTAAGGTTACAGCAGCGCTCTAATTCTGAAGACACGGATGCAGCCACAGCCGGGCCGGCGTTAGCCACTTGTGTCCTGAGAGAGTATAGGGTAAGAAGAGGGTGGGTGCTGCCTTCAAGCTATCTGGTACTCTCCCGTCTTCTATACTCTCCTAGAGCGCTAGTGGTCAGTGCTGATCGATACCAGATTGCGTGAACAGGCGACGCGTAGCCCACTGTTTCCCCCCCTAC